TTCCCTTGTCCACCGATGCTGTCACTCCATCATAAAAGGCCACCAGATTGGTCAAGCATGACCTTCCTCTCACTGCAGAGAGGGCTCTCTGGGAGCACAGCAGCACTGTGTGGCACTATCCATCCTCTCCCTTTTGCATGATAAAGTAACCCATGGAAATAAAGAAACAGGGCTTAATAGGCATATGGGACAGGGCCTTTGGCAGTGATGTCAATCAAATGTGTCTCGGCAATGCTCCTCTCATTAACAGCTGCAAATTATAACCTATTCACCCCTTCTGCCCCACTCCCACCATGCTGCTGGCCACTGCCTCCCATAGCCGCGGGCTCATTAACCAGTTGCAACATAGCCTCAACAAAAGAAACATTTATTTATGAAAATCCACCGGGACTTAACAAACCCAATAATTAGAGAGGGAGGCCATTTGGAACAGGAGGGCTCTGTGGAGGGAAGCTTTTGCTGTATAGAGATGCTACCATGGGAGGAACCTCACCCAAAGCTCCTATGCACTGCACCACACCAAATACCCAAACCCTTAATGTACACTGCAGCCCAGCTTGTCCCATCACATCCCTCAGGCGTATTGTATTGCACTGAAACTGGATGCCTTTTGTCTGGGATGGAAAGGTTAAGGGCAGAGACACCAGAGAGTCTTCTCATATCCTCAGCTGCTGTTGGGATTCATTGTCCCTCCTCTGACATGCCCCAGCGAGCACATTTCACTGATGGGTGTGATAGAAGCTCCAACAGGGATGGTATTTTGGGCAGATAAGCCATGTGAGAAGGAACCAAGTTAAGCTTTTCATTAAAACCACTGTGTGAATTACTCAACTGGAGACAGGTTTGGGGATGCAGGATGATGTGATTAGACTAACAGGTTGCTGAAGCCTGAAAGCTGTGTGGTTGGGTTTTCTTTCTATAATTATTAATAGCAAGCAAAAGCGAGGTGCTCTTGTGCTGGGAGCTTTGGCTGTGGTCTTGCATTTCAGAGAATCAGGAAAGAGGCAAAGAAACTCTCTTGCTTTGCAATTGAATTTCTAACCAGAGATCTGAAAGCAAACTAGAAAACCAGGCTTAACAAAGTAGGAAAAGTCTCTGTATCACCACTGATCTGTCTGATAGGAAAGCTGAATGTACTGCAGCTGGCATGATCAGAGGTCCCATCCCCCTCTCAGGCAGGTGAGTCTTTTTCTGGGCTTCTCAGACTTCAAAAGAAGATTTCACTGTGGCTTTTGCACACCAAGAACATGGTGAACGCAGCATGTCATCAGCATGGACACAGCCCTGCTGCAAACACTCCATCTCACAGGTTGGCCTGGAGCCTAAATGTTACAATAGCCTTTCCCACCTCCACCTGTGAGACAGCTTGGCACTTGGAGTTGGGAAGAGTCTTTGGCTCTGGACATATTCCCATTTACCCAGAGCATTTTCCTTTTCCTGCGTTGGCCTCCATCTGATGAAAACTTCCCCTAGAGTCATTTCTACCCGCTTGGACATCCCAGTTTGTAACTGGTGGGAATTCTGCCTGCTTTATCTCAAGAGACAGCTTGGTACAAGGGGCACAAGGGGCATTTCAGGCTGCAAGCCTTGATCTGAGGTCTCCACAAACTCTCTTGGGGTTATCTCATGTTTCAAGCTGAGCATTGCTTGTGAGAAGACGGCTGTCGTTTCTCTGCACATCTCATAATCACAGTGTCCTGAGGGCATCAGACACAGGGGAGAAAAAAGGCAGCCTGGTTATTTTCTGTGTATTTGAACGCTGACTTCTGTAAGCTCTTAAGCTAACACAAACTTGTGTGCTCAAGGTGCGTGCGGACCAGATCTCTGCTGGCCTTACTTGCTGGCTCTTCAGTGCACTTTGAGACATTCATTTTTGCCTTCATTTTGGGTTGGCAGCTGGAAATAAATCAGCATTTGGCTCTGGTTTGTATCACCTTCTCATGTATTGGCAGCACAGCACCTGTGGAGCTTGTGGCAAAGTTCAACCCACTTTGTGAGTCCGATTTCTGCACCAAAAAAGTGAGAGGTTATGCCAGCAGCTTTTGAGCAGGAAGGAGCAGTCAATACAACAGCCCAGACTGGTGGGTTTTTTCCTAACATGCTACATTTACCAACTTCTCATTTTATTTCATTTTTCCCTCCTTCCATACATTTACTGACCAAAGGAGCCCTTGCTGAGAGCAGCCCCTGGTTAAAATTGCATCATCAGAACAGGACTAAAACATAACAAACATCCAAGTTACCCATCATAACCTTAATGTTTCATGCACAAGCCAGGGAGAGGAAAAGAGAAACATTTCCCTGACTAAAACAAAATCCAGAAAGTGTGAGTGAAATCATTTCTGCTCTCCCCTGAGTCAAAATTTCTGCAAAATTCATGTCACCCTTCCAACATTTTATGTTGACAAAGCTTTGTTTTTCCAACAAAAACCTACTGTGCCTCTTTCTGAGCAGCTCCAGGCACTTTCAGGTTGTGAAGATCTTGTCCATTCAGTCAGTTCTTCTCCAGAGCTCCAGAGACTTCCAAAATCTACTTGTGACCTATAGCCTTAGGCCTAGAATGAGATCACAGTGATTGATTTTGGCACAGATGAATGATTAATGGCAACTAAAGCCTGGTTTAGTTCTGAAATCCTTTCCAAGAGCCCTGATTTGATGAGCTGAGCTGTGTTGTGGAGTGGCTCTTTGCAGAATAGTGGGTGCTGGAGATGAGCTGAGACTACAAAACCACCATGTTCAGCTGAAGCACTGACTGGCCAGTGGTGCCACAAGGGTATTTTGAAGTTGAAAACAGCACTTCTGCTTGATTTTGGTATTGAATACCTCTCTGGATACTCAACTGGGAAGGACAGAATGAAATTAAAGTTGGGAGCAGGAAAGATTTATTTATTTTCCCTTGGATGTTGGATGCACTGAGAGACACCTGCTGCCTCGTAGAAAGCAGGGAAGTGCCTGCCAGCATTGTACTTCTGGTTTAAGAGAAAAACCCAGCTCTGCTCTATTTCTGCAGCCTATCGGCACATGGCAGGTTGGAGAGGCAGATAGCAAGGCGGAGGCCAGAAAAACCTTGTTTGTGTTTGGACATGAGCCATGATGAAACACATGAAATCAGTCTGAAGCTTTTGCTCTTGGGTTCACTCAAGCATCACAGGTGAGCAGCAGCACAGCAGGAGATGAAAAAACAGCACAGACAGAAGCCAGTACATTAAAACCAGGGTGATGATGCTGGGTGGATCACGCGCTGGAGCATTCTGGTGAGGGAAAGGTATGGCAGCATCCAGATGGGTGGCTAACAGAGTTTGGGAGCCGCTTAGGTGAGTGTGTTGGAGTAGAAGCTGAAGCTTTCGGAGACAGTTTTGGAGTCACTGCGTGAGGAGCCATTGGAGGTCATGTCTACAGAGAGACGTTTGCCCTTTTTGCTCTCTTCCAGCTCCTCCTCAGCTGCACCAACCGCCAAGGACACGGTGGTCTCTATCCGGCTGACCTTGTACATGCTGCTCTGTGTCTGCAGGTACCTGGCTGACTTCATCTCCAGACCCTCGTACTCAGCAGCACTGACAAATGGGCACCACCGGAATGCATGCTTGAAGCCCACGCGGAACCTGAGGGGACAGAAGGGTTGCAGAGAGGCAGGAGTGAGGAAAGTGGGGATGGGGAGAGTGGGGAGAGGACCCCACTGGACATGAGAGGCCAGGTCTAAGTGCTGCTGAACAGTTAAACAAACATTGCTTTTCATTCAGATGTGAAAATAAAAACAAAAAAAACACCACTGATAAATCCCAGTGAGGAGTAGGGAGGATTGTTTTGAAACATGAGTGACTTCAGATCCCATAGAGACTTCAGGGAAGATTTATTGAGGTGAGTCTTGTCCCCACAACAAACACAGCCCCTGGAAGAGGATAGAACAGAACCATCCTAGAATGCCTCTCTATCCACAGTCTCCTCCATCAGAGCCCTCTGTGTTTCTCTCTTCTCCCTGCCCTGCTGTGTTGGGCTCAAACCCACCTGTCATTGAGGCAGCAGTAGATGATGGGGTTGTACATGGTGGAGCTCATGGCCAGCCACATGACAGCCAGGTAGACCTGCTGGATGAACTTCTGCAGGTACCACTCGGGGTTGAAATACTGCAGGGTGAAGTAGATGTGGTAGGGCAGCCAGCACAGCGCGAACGTGCACACCACAATGATCATCATCTTCACCACCTGTGAGGAAAAGAGAGCGCAGGGCAGGGAGGACTTCTGTCACAAGTCACCCTCCAGAAGAAGCCACCTCAGAGACCTTTTCAGCAGGGAACACACGCTTGGCATCACGGAGGACGCACGTTTGGAGGACACGCTCTGCTCCTTTAGGAACAACAACCTGTTTCCATCTTGCTACGTTCTTTTTGGCTGTGGTTAGTTGGGATTGAGTGTGAATGATGGCTGCTACTGTGCAGCTTCCTTACCTTCCGCTTTGCTGAGACCTGCTCGTGGTAGCGGTCAGAGGAGTCACCAGGTATCTCACTTGCCCAGAGGGTGATGCTGACCACGGTGTAGGCACAGCCTATCACCAGCAGTGGCAAGAAGTAGATCAGGACAGTCATGCAGAAGTGATACCTACAAAAAATGATGGCTGTTGAGAGCATCCTCTACCTAGTCAGCCTGTTTCTTGCAAACCAAGCTTGGAAGCACAGTTTCACAGGGACAGAGGGAATGTAGCATGATTCCTCTGTGCTCAGTACCAGGAAGAACTCCCTAGTTTCATCCCAATCTCTTCCAAGCCTCCACTGCTGGCTTCTGGCATGCCAGCACACTCCAGGAATGGGAGAGAGAAGCCAGTGAAAGACTTACTTATGTTACCTGTGCATAGCAAAGACGTCTTAGATGAGGTAGCTCTACTATCACATCTACTTTATTTACACCCTAATTTATCCTGAAGGTGAAAACTGATGCTTGTCAGATCTTTCATCTAGCAGTCCTGTGCAAATGTATTAAAACAAGACCAACATAGAACAGAACATATGTAAAGGATAGGGTTGGCAATGGGGGTTGGACTAGTTGATCTCTGGAGGTCCCTTCTAGCCCCTACAACTCTGTGATTCTTTGATAGGAACCTTAAACTAAAGAGAAATGCAGGATTTCCCTGCATGGCAAATGCAAAGTCTTAGCTTGCCTGACTCTTGATCCACCATAGGTTTGGTTCTGCTCAGGCAGCAGAAGACATAATCTCAGTCCCCACTGCCATAAACACAGCTGGGAGCAGCTCCATGCACAATGCACAGAAGTTGGGCTGCGGGAAGCTCTTGCTAGCAAAAGGTCAACGTGCAGTTCATAAAAGCAGTGTGGTAGAAATAGCCTTTGCTTCCAGCGTGGCACTGCTCCAAGCTGTGTTCCTTCCCAGTGCTGATCCAACTGGTTAGTTTTCCGCACACATGGGGAGGGCAGGATCTTTGCATCCCTTTATAACATGGATAAAGGTTCTGTAGCCTTGCTCTGTTCTTGCACTCTCTCCTCCTAGGAGCTCAGATTGAATAATCTCTCCAAAGTGTAAGTCATGGGTCAGGTTCGTGCCTGATGCAACTCCTTCTGCTCTGGCAGGAGTGAGGTTGGCCCCAGACCCACACTGCCATGCCATCTCCTCCTTGTTTTGTACCTGCAATCTCATTTGGCCTCCTCTCCACCCAGGGCTAATCGCATTTCAGCTGGATTTTGTAGGACTGTTTTCTATTTTGCTAATTAAAGAGGCGTCTCTGTGGCTCCATGATGAAGATTTCATTGTTGCTGTGCAAGGCAGGGTCTTAAACCAGCTGCAAAGTGTGGAGAGTGATGCAGAAAAGCCCCAGAGCAACCATTAAATAATGCAAGCAAGACACGTCCTTATTTTCAGAGCCACAGCAGCATGGTGAGGAGAGGGATTGCCAACACATCCTGCTTTTTGGTTCATTATTTTTTGTACTTTGGATGATGAAACCCATCCATTTATTACTCTATGAGGATCAGGCAGGCAGGGAAGCCTGGATTTTGTGATTTAGAAGTCTTCAGTGTGGGGATTTAGTAACTTGTGAAGAACAGGGGAGCACGTAGGAGGGATGACAGGGACATGAGAGGAGGCAGCTGATGTCTGGACAGTCACTGTGGGCTGGTATCACCCTGATAAGCCAATGAGTAGTACAGTTTTGCCCCTTAATGAATCAAAATGAATGGAAGGGAGCTGAGTCACCAGCTCCTGGTGCAGTTGCAGCACCTCCTGCCTTAAATAATTGCACTACAGCCGTGCAAGCAGGAATGGTGTTTGACAGGGGCCCAAACACCCACCTGCAGTTATTTTGGGGGCAGTAAGATAACACATATGATCTCTGGCTCTGTGCAAGTGGATTCCCATGATTTGGACAGCATTTTGTGCTAGGCTGAGCTGCAAACTATTTTCAGTCCTCAGCAGCTGTTTGAGATTTGTCTACGGAAAAGCTTCTGCTTAGCATCTTCTCTCCTGGCTGCCCTCAACTGTTTGCTGAATGGCCTGCTCACCAAAGAGCGTGGGATATGCAGGCTTTGGGGTGGCACCCAGCTTCCAAATTATCCATGGGTTGGTAGTAGTGTTTTGCTCTTGAGTCAACTCTTGAAAAGGCAGTGGCTCTGGTAGATGGCAAAACGGTGAATGATTTGTCAAAGTGAGACCCTGGGTCTGTGCTGGTCACTTTTTCAGACTGGGGGACCTGGGGACTCAGACTTGTGGGCTGAGTTTCTTCATGCTGGCTGCATTTATTGCAGTTGCATGGAATCATGGAGGTTGGAAAACACCTCAGCTCAGCTCTTGCTTTATGGACAGACTCACGTTGGCTTTGAGCACTTTTTCCTGTGTGCACATCCCCTGCTTTGCCTCTAGCACAGTTTCACAGCACTAATTCATTGCTCTGTGGGACTGGAGTTGCAAAGGTTGGTTTTTTTTCCCCTTTTTCCTTATGACATTTAGCTCACTGCATGACTCACAGACCTCAAAGAGCAAACTGTGGAGGACCATGTGCTGGCGGTCCAGCAGGGTTGCCCAGACCTGCTGGAAATGCCAGATGTAATTAGCTGGAACCTTGGTGGGTAGGAAGGAGATGGCTGCTGAGCCCTCCTGTTCAGGCATCCACCTTTCATCCTGAGCTGGTTCTGCAAAGCCTCTTTTCAGAGCTTGTTTTTTGAAGCACTTGAGTGAATTTTTGAGGTGTTTGGGCTCAACACATCCCCAGACAGCCTTCTCTGTTACTGCCTGGCCAAGGTACACCTGATACAACGCTATTTACTTCTTACAGGAGTAACTCTCACCCTAGGAAGCCTGTAAAGATGTAAGCTGAAGGAAAGGTGCTACAAAAAAACAGAGCCATGCAGCCCCTGGGGGTAATGCAGACTGCATCCCACAGTTGCATCTTAGCAGTTGGATATGAGTTTCCCTCAAGGACGAGCACTGTAGAAGGGCTGGGAGCTCATGCAGTGTGGACCAGAAGGAGCACCAAACTCAGCTTAATTAACCTCAGTGTGCCTCACCATGCTATAGATGCAGATCTTGCTACCATCAGCCACGTAGCACCAGCCTTACCCTGGTTGGGTGGAGGATTTCCCCATCCCAAGGAGCCTTCATCCCTCCTCAGCTTTCCCCACTTCTTTTTAACAATGTTTTTTAAATACTTTTTTAACTTTTTTTTTTGTATAGGTCAATTTGTCCATTCCTCTTGGAAAGTCTGACTCACGTTTTGCCATACACGTCGGTGCTGTGCTCCGGCCATGCCACCAGGCACACCAGTCGGCCTGGCAGCTCCTCTGTCACCGAGTAGTAGCCCTGTGGGAAGGCCAGCAGGAAGGCCAGGAGCCAGATGACACCAATGACCACTTTGGTGGCAGTGGCTGAGAGCCGGGGCTGCAGCGGGTGGATGATGGCCATGTACCTGCAAGGTGAGCAAGAGAAGAAATCAAAGCTTGGTAGCTTTGGAGGCTGTCTCAGATCTTGTGTGTGTGTGTTGTGCTTCTGACACCTGCTTCATGCAGCTTAGCAGCCCTCAATGCCACACAGAATGCATCCAATAATCTTTCACAGAGGGGTCCCCAACCAATTCTCTTGCAGCAAATTCCCCTTGGGCCCGGAGTCCCATTTGAGGCACTCATTGACTCCTAGCCAAAAAGCAGCTTTGCTAATGCAACCATAGAATCATTAAGACTGGAAAAGACCTCTGAGATCATCAAGTCAAAGCCCAGTCCATCCCACCATGCTCACTGACCCCATCATCATTCTGGAACACCTCCAGAGATGGTGACCCCACCACTCCCTGGGCAGCTGTGCCAGAGCCCAGCCACTTTCTTGGATAAGTATTTCCTAATACCCAACCTGACCCTTTCCTGGTACAGCGTAAGGCCAACACCTCTTGTCCCATTGCCATTACTGGGAGCAGAGGCCAACCCCCCCTCACCACTACCTCCTTTCAGGGCAGTGTAGAGAGCCATAAGGTCTCCCCTGAGCCTCCTCTTCTCCGGACTGAACCATCCCCATAAGACTTGTGTCCCTTTCCAGCTTTGCTGCCCATCTCTGGGCACACTCCACGGCCTCAATATCTTTCTTGTAGTGAGGGGCTCAGATCTGTACTATACTCATATCTGATGCTGTTGTCTGGCAGCACCTCCATTGGCAGCACTCAATAGTTTTGCACTGGAGCAAAATCATATCTATACAGTAAATTGCAGTGCAAAGGCTTCCAAACAGGAGAGCCAAAACAAAGCATGCTGGAGCTGCCCCACATCTGCCTCGCTCATGGGATCTTCCACCCTGAACATCAGTCATCATACATGAGGCAGACTCCAGTGACGACGGGGCAGATTGAATTTATCCTTCTGCAAATCTGGTTTTGCAAAGCTGACAGCAGCCAGCAGCGCTGGAAGGATTAAGTGAGCACACTGCAAATGTTTTATTTCCCTCCCCCATGTCAAGCTTTGGAAACGCTGCCGTCATACAATGAGGAGAAACGTTGCATTGCTCTGCATGTTACAGCCTGAGGCATTTGCAGTGTTCTCTGTTTCTCCACTCCCCCCCACTCTTTTCAGATGATGGACAGTTTTTGCTTTTCGTTTTCTCCTGGATGAAAATAGTCCCCGTGTTCCATTACGTGTCCATTTGCTGCGGAAAAGGTGCAGGGATTAATAGAGAAATACACACTGCCATCAGCTCTTCCCCTGCCCTGGGGTACCAAACCTTATCAGCTTTGTGCAGCTGCAAATTCACCTGATAATTATCCTTCTAAAATCTCTGCGAAATCTTTGGCGCCCGAAACAGAAGCTGGTGAGTAAAAGTGAATGGAATGGATGCTGGCAATGCTCTGCCACAGCAGCCAGCAACACACTGACCTCTCCGGGCTTCTACATCCCCACTGTTCCACCATGGGAGCTGGAGGAGGTTTGGTTGGGGTTATCCTATAGTACTGGTGCTCTGATCTAATTTCTGCCAGTGCACTTTGGAGGATTTTCCTTATCAGATTCAAGCACTTTGTGGCTGCAGAAAATCTCACAGGTAATAAAATGCCCAAACAATTGATAAAACAACGAGTTAAGCCCCAACCCCATTGCCCAGAGACCTTTCCAATCACCACTGATCTGTCTGTGATGCTCTGGTGTCCATGATAGAAAGAAGACAGCAAAATTAATACAACTGAAGAGTCAAAGAATAAAACAAATATGCCAGCGTTTCAAGGAAGGGGCCAGGAGGAAGCTAACCAGTGGTGCTTTGGGAAACACTGGTCCTACATTCTACTTTTTGACAGCAATTTCCAAACCTCCAGGAAAAAGGCTCATAAGGGTCTGAGCTGCTTGGAGGAGCTAGTGATACTGGAGCTAGTGATACTGGAGATAGATGGAAATGTGCAAACATCCTGAGAATAATTTGATCATTATTTCATATTAAAATACCGTCTAATTAAATAATAATTGTATCAGCAAGTAAAGAGTTGTCTCAACGTTTTAATAACTGCATCCTTGCTGTTTTTTCTTTTGCTTGACAAGAACATTTGATGCAAAATTATACTGCAGGGAAGGGAGGAGCACAGAATATTGCTTCATGGCCTCCTTAGCTCAAGTAATAGCCACTGTCATGCTCATACTGGGGTGAGAAAACACCAGTGGGGAAACAAAATAGCTGCTTTTGCCTTCTTCCTGTACTCGGTCCATCCATCCCAAACATCTCTCAGTTCCTTGCTGACTGGTTGAGCTTTCCAGTTTCTTTCCCCTATAGGTTGGTGTGTATTCCTTTCTGGGGGATGCACCTATAATGTTTCAGGGCATGTGCAAGTTGCTGGTGGTTCCGCAGGCAGATGCATGCCTGATTTGGGGCACAAAGACATCAATCAGAGCAAAGTGCTGCAGATCCCAGTCACTCTGTTGGGAAGCAGATTCTTGAAAGCAGGCTAATGAGTTTATTCGCTCATATTTCTCCTTGCAAAGTGCCTCTATGGCCCCGCTCTGCCCATCTCCCTGTATCCTATTAGAGAGATTTATTCTTTTCTCCACTGCCCAGGAGGGCAGTTCTCCTGGCCAGACAGGAGCGGTGGTTTGCATGAGCTGGGGAGGGGAAGGAATATCCCCATGTACAGCAGGTGAAGAACCACCACGGGCTCCTGATGTCCCATTTTTCTATGGGGAGAGAGTCCTTGGTTGAAGATTTAAGGGCAGATTTCCTACATTAATGAAAAGGTTTTGTTCCTGATGGGCTGTAAGTGTTCCGAGGGGGTAGAGCTCATACTGGGCTGCAGGAGATGTTGGGTTGGGAAGAACTAATGATCCTCTTCCTCGAGATGCAATGACCTGCTCTGCTTGCCTTTGGGATGGGAGCTTCACACCTGAGGGTTACGTTTTGCAAGCCCAGGGCTGCCCAGCTCCTTTCAACCTCATGCTGATGCTCATCCCTTTTTCCTTCCCCCCAGAACTCAATGGGACTGAAGACAGCTCCAATTGCCAGCAGCTTTATATACCCACTGCACTGAAGGACACAACTTTAGGCCAGATGCTTTCTTTTTGGTGACGTAAGTAATGCCATTTGCTGTTGTTTTAAATATTTTATTGTGTTTCGGATTGGGGGGGGTTGTTACCATGGTGAAGCAATAGCATCTGAGTACAGTGTTGTAGCAAGGTAGCTCTGAGTGTATCACTTATTACGTAGCTAGATGGCTACACTGCCTCAAATGCACTATTAATTGCATCTGGAAAGCTGGAGCCTGCCTGGAGAATGAACATGACACATTTGTTTCCAAAGAAAGAATTTTGCCAAATGCAGACAGAAGAGGACCAAAACCCAGAATTGGCAGCAGGCTGGGGAGGAGGCAGAGGGCCCCCCCAGTGTTCACTGCACTGCTGATAGCAATGAGATGGGAAAGGAGGATCCAAAGCACAGCACAGCCCTCTTGGGGGGGCTCTGTGACCTCACCAAGTGCTGCTTAAGGAAAGCAGATAGCCCCATGGCACCATTTAAAGCTGAGGAATGAATGTGGGAAACGCAGGGCTGATAAATCTGAGATCAGTGCATGCGTTAATCCAGATGAGCCATCGAAGTGTTAAGAACAAACTAAGGGCCAAATTAGGAAAGCCATCAATTAAGCAGAATAACTCCCCTCCAGCAGCTTGTGCCAATGCTCTGCTTGCAGCCAAGCACCTCAGAGGCATGTCTAACACCTGAGCTCCTACACTGCCCAGCCACCCACCAGCCTGTTGCTATTTCATCTTCATCGCATATTTATCACAGCAGAAGAAGAAGAAAAAAAGGATGCCAGTTAGCTTTTGACCTGGTGAATTCAGCTCGTCCCCCCAGGCTCCCTTCCCTCCCACTTGCTCTTCTTCCAAATCCCATCCCAGCAGGGCACGGTTACGCATTGTCAGGCGCAAATCAAAGTTCTGTCCTGCAAGCCCCAGAAGACCATTAAGTCAAGATTAAAAGAACTTGTGCTATATTAGGGCGTAAATGACTAATTAATATGTCTGCACACTGATGTAATTTGTCCTCTCCAGAGGGTTTCTATCTGCAGTAATCGCCTCTTGGGGAAGGCATGGGGTCATTGAGCTGGTGAATGTATTCCTGGTATTCAGCTGGTTCATCTAAACTGGGAGTTCAAACTTGCAAGCATAAATAATTTTCCAAACCACCTTTTCTGTTGCATACAGTATGGGGTTGTGGAGATATGAACAGGTCTGCAGGCTGGTGGCTGTAGGAGCCATGGAGGTGAAGGAAGCTTTGCAGATTTGGTGTTTCTGCAGCTCCTGCTGGCACATGGATGGATTTCAAGACACTTAATGGAGTATGATTTAAAAAAAAAAAAAAAAAGAGGCATATAAATAGGATCCCAGTTTGATTGCCCAGCCCTGTGTGCTGATCTGGCTCTGATTCCACACGTAATCCAGGATCCTCGGCAAGGAGGTCCATCCCTCCTGCAGCAGTTTGCTAACAGCGCGGGCAAGTGGCAGTCCCAAGGAGAGAGACAATGCCTGCTGTTCCGCGATGCTCCATCCTGCTCCTCACAGATACTGGAGAGGAAATAGGAAAAAAACAACTCTGGATGTCCCTGCACGTGGCTGCAAAGTGGCTTGGACACAATACGGGCTCCCAGTTTTCCTGGGAAGCTGGAGAAAGCGGAATCTCACAGCTCTTTCTTTGAAGTGCACACATTCATAGCGTTCAAAGCCAGAAGGGGACGCGTTGTGCTCTGGAACTGACACACCCAATGATGAAGGCCATGCTATGCAGTTCCAGAGTGGGCTGCTTGGCCCTAACTGCTGCAGGATGCTGTGTGGCAGCGGCACTGCTTTTCCTGAGGAGGCCTTCCAGCTGCCAGCCCCAATTCCTGCATTTCCTGCCATTGTTGCAGTGCTCAGAGCTCTGTGGTGTAGGATTAACCTTTGTTTTATTTTATTTTATTTTATTTCAGACTGGTTGTTCCCAGTATGAAACAGCTTTTGGTAAAAGTGCAATCCTAGTTTCAAGCAAAAGCCTTTTTCTTTTTGTTATTGCCATAGTTTTCTTAGCTGCATCTGATTCATCACAGGGAGAGGCAGCTCACAGGCTCCTAACCACTCCAGAGCCAAACAAAACCCGAGCCCGTTTCTAACAACCAGAGCATCATCTATCTCCAGCTCTGTTTCCCAAGCTGTCACTGCACTATTTGTGGCAGCGCTGCAATTTCTTGTTGGGAAATGCCCATGCCAGTTTGGGCAGTATTTACACCTCAGCCCAAATCAGGCTGGTGTATAGGTAGTGCCAATCCTCCTCCCACCCTGTTTGCATTTATCCCCAGCGAAAAGGTGTTCTGCTCCCTGGGAAGGAGCACAAAAAGAGGCACTGCAGAGCAGAGTTTTCTTCAGGAAATCGGTTGCACTGGAAAATGCATTGTGCCTGGAGCACTGGTAACCAGGAGGGAACTGCAGAGCTTATTGGGAGCCTCAGGTTATCCCTAGCACCAATACAAAAAGACATTAAAGACAAACATTAAGGATTTTGGAGGGAGTTACACACCAGCTGTGCCTGGAGGAGGGCCCTCAGCATGTGGCCAAGTTGTGCTCCTTCCCCCTTGCCCTGTGCCACCACAGCCTGCCAGGCTTTGCCCAACTTTTACCCTTGGCAGAACACACATGGGATGCCATCATGCTGGCAGCCCCCAGCCATCCAGCAGCACAACTCCCAGAAAGCTGCTGGGGAAGAAAACAGCTCATTTGTTCTGCAGCCCAACGAGAGCCATCCATGGGACTTCCCTCCCCTTTCACTCTCTGGTAATAAAATCCAGGTGGTTTTGTGAAATTCTGTGGTTCGGTGGGCAATGCAACAACATGCAACCTGAGCATCACTCCGAGGTCCCCAGCACCTGAGATCAGGAGCCAGGAAAGGGCTCCTGCAGTGCATCCAACAGGCATGATTTCGTTACTTGACTGTTTTATGCTAAGCAGTGAGCTAAATGAGGAGGTTGGGAAAGGAATGGACTGCTCTGGAGATGAGCTGGGAAGGGAAAGGACAGAAAAATGCCAGAAGTACAAGCCGTGTACACACTACCAACATGCATTAATAGATTACAAAAGCTCTTTTGGCATAGCTGACAAAGGATTCCCTACAGAGGATTCCCTGAACCACCTGCAAACAGGTCAGGGAGAGGGATTCTATCTCACACTCCTTTACTGAGAAGAGCTCATTTGAATTGCAGTGCTTTCCCATGGCCAGATATCAGGCAGAGCTGAGCACAGCGCCCAGGCAGAGGCAATGTGGATGTGGGGAGGGGTTGGGGTTGGGTGCTCACCTGTCCAGGGCGATGGCTGTCATGGAGTAGATGCTGGCAAAGACGGCAGCGATGGGGAAGAAGTTGTGAAACTTGCAGTAGAGCAGCCCATAGTACCATTCGTTGTGGATGGCATAAGTGAAGTTCACAACTGTGTTGAAGGCAGACATGGAGGCTTCAGCAAAAGCCAGATTCACCAAGAAGTAATTGGTGACGGTGCGCATCCTTTTGTGAGCCAAGATGATCCACATCACCACCACATTCCCCACCACTGACACCACCACGATGAGGGTGTAGGCAACGGCCCACAGGGCCACCTGCCATGGGGGCTGGACGAATTGGTTGGCAGAGGACTCGTTCAGGGAGGCATTGAGCAGCCATCGGTGCTCCAGCTCTGCTTCCAGCGGCGGGGAGTCATCCATCACAGCGTGGCACTGCTGGACCAGGCACGAGGATGCTTCGGGACACGGAGCCCTGTGGGTTTAGGATACAGCAGGTTCGGTGGGGAAGGATACTTCAGGTCACAGCACTCTGGGGTGAGGATGATTTGGGGAGCAGCACTCTCCAGGTCTGGGCGTGCGGATGGTTCAGGGTGCAGCAGGTTCAGGGGTGAGGATGCTTTGGGGCACAGCACCCTCCTGGTTAAGGGCACAGCTGGCGCAGAGCACGCAGGTTTGGGGCACGAAGGCAGATCAGGGTGCGGGACCCTCCGGGTTCAGAGCCCAGCCACGTCGGGGTTTGGAACCCTTCCAGTTCCAGGCGCGGCTGGTTCAGAGTGCTGCTCCCTTCCTCTTCTGGGTGCAGCCGCAGCAGGGTACGCAGCCATGGCAGAGCACAACCGTGTCGGGATGGCAGCTGGGGGGGACGCAGCGGGACCGGGCAGCGCTTTTCACCTTCCAGTCGGTTCGGTTCGGTCCGGGGCCGTTCGGCTCCGTGCGGCTGATGCTGGAACGGGGCCGGGACCCTCCGAGCGCAGCCGGAGCTCAGACACCGCCGCGGCTTTTGTAGGCGGCGCGGGCGGTGCCTGACAGCGGGGAGCGGAGCCGGGAGCCCAGAGCCCTCCCCCGTCCCCCCCCACCCCCCCCGCTGCCCCTCGCCCCCTCCTCACCGTCCTCAGCGTCAGTGTTCGCCTCTACGATTCAGCCCAAAGCTTCTCTACAGCCAGCGGACAGCCGGGGGTGGGGGATCGATTCCAACGGCTTCACACACACACACACACACACACACACACAATAACCAACAAAAAACGAAAACCCAACCGAAATGTTTGAGTTTTGTCATGAGGAATGGTCTTCTTGCCCAAAGCAGCACCAACGGGGAGGTCCGGTTCCGTGCCCCTTCCCTAATACGAAGCAAGGAAAAAGCTCCCGGGGGACAGCAAATCTTTTTTTTCAAATTACCGCTGTAATTTGAACGTGCTTCATCCGCAGGCACAGAGCTCCCTTCTGTCCCCAGTCCTGGTTTATGACATCCACCAGACGGGGGTGATTTTAACTTACTCATCCAGTATCGTGTTATGGCCAAGCGTGGGCGCAAAGTGCACCGCTGTGTGTTGGGAGCGATGGTTTTCCCTTAGGATGCACCGATGCAATGAGGATAAAAAGCCCCTCTGGAAGCAGAGCTCGTCCCTCTGCTTTGCTAAAGGATGTTCCCAAATGGCTGCGGACTCCGATAGCAGCTGGGAACCGCTCCGAGGGAACACTGCGAAACTAACACTGCGAACCCCGGGGTGAAAACGGCACTGCTGCTCGTGTGCAGGGAGGATGGCTCAGCTCATAAGCTGAAGCAAAGCAGGAGGGACTCCGAAAATCTTTAGTTCTTGACACAGGCTCCGCTGTTGAAGTGAGACGGAATTTTTAACGGCGGGACAGACGGACGAGGAGGTGGATTTCAGCTTAGAGCCTCCGCATCGCCCGCAGCCCCGCAAGCAGGAGCTGCGCTGAGGGTCCCCTCTTCCTGCATCCGGACCACTCGATGGCAGCACTGCCTAAAAATGCGGCAGAGGGACGGCTGAGCAGCCTGCCGGCTTGGGGAGGTTTGCTAGCGACGGTGTTTCCAACCTTTCCCTTTGCTGCTTTGGGGCATTAATGTGAATACGACCAAACCCCAAAGGAGGGGAGGCCCTGGCAATGAGGAACAGCTTCAGCAGCCTTCTCAGTGCACCACAGCAAACCCTCTCCCGTTCCAGCAAGCCCCTCTGTGCCCCATCTGATAACAGCACCCCACTGCAGGGCACAGAGACATCACACCCATTTCTCCACCTCCGTTTTCTCACTGTGAAAAAGGAGGCGATTCCTTATGCACATTCCTGTTGGAAAGAACCACCTATTTTTTTCCTGTTCTGCTGCCATGTGAGGAATTGAATTGCTACCTGAAGCAGGCTGCAGACAGGCACGTGTGCCATGGCATGTCCAGGCTGGGCAGCTGGGAGGAATGTCCATTAAGGGGGAGGTTTTTTTAATTCCAGAAGAGAAAAAGAGGAAAAAATTCAATCCAAAGAAGAAATCCTGCATGAGAGAGAGCAGATGTACTCATCGCTTGGCAGCTATGAGCAGACTACTGCAAGCTTGTGACAGCTAATTAATGCTTACAGGTCCCTGTGAAGGTGCCAGCCCTGTTCTGTGTGTGATGTCCCCCTCCTCCCCTTTCCCAAGAATGCTTGGATACCTTTGCGTGCACTGCCAGCCCTTCCAGAGCAAAGCAAACCTTTGTAATCGGCAGATGGAAAAACCTTGACTTTTCCTGTTGTGTTTTCCAGCAGGACAGGAGCCTCTTCCCCTAATAGGTCCCCCAGCAGTCCCCCTGGGGCCACCAAACAATGAGAGCACATACGAAGCATGATTCTCTGGAAGGAAAATCTGCTGAAGGGAACCATCAGAGATGACCTTTTTGCTGCCTCAGCTCCATGCTCCATCTGAGGGGTTGGACCCCATCTCCCTGTGCAAGTGAGACGTGCAGTGTTGGGTTCAAGATTTGCCATCTCCCAGAAGAGTGGTCCTAACCACCCAATATCCTGCACAGAGGTGCTTGCAGGGCTTTGTGCTTGGGTGACATAAGAGCAGGCAGATCAAGCTGCCCTGCAGATCTGGGGGATAACACCTAACAGGCAGTAACATCTTTTCCTAGAACAGCTGGATCCCAAAGGGAACAGCTGCCCTGCTTATTCTGCTTGCTTCTGCAGTCCCCCCCACCTGGGCTTTCCCTGGCTTTAAATTGAGCACACTGATCCCTGCTTTTGTGGGTAAGGTTCTGCAGTTGGTTGGGCTTTTTCTAGTTCTCTGTGCTCTAAGTCCCTGTGCCTTGGGGGCTCAGGAGTAAGGGTGAGAGGAGGCTATGCAGCTCCAAAGTGATGCTTTCTCTGCTAAAGGTGAGGCTGCTTTATAGTTTTTAGAAGCCTGTGTGTGAAGCCTACCTGTTCCTTGTGGCCTGAGGAGGAGCCATGAGGCTCTGATGATGAACAAAATGTCTTGAATCATGCTTGAGTTTTGTACAGTCACCAAAATCCTGTGGAGGTGAATAATTTGTCTTTGTCTTCTGCAAAAAGCCTCTGTGGAAGTTCGAAAGCTGTTTCCCCCAGCAAAATGTCTCTGCTTTGAGCTCCTTTACTTTGTCCTCTGCTTTGAGTGCTGGCAGCAGCAGTTGGGGCTCTGTCTCCAGGTATGTTTGGGGTGCAGGGCATTTTTCCATGCCTGGAAGGAGCCACTGCCAGGAACAACTTGCTCTGGAAATTGTGATTTTATGTATTAGGGAGCTGTAAGGAGGAATCTAAATGAAAAGGGGAGGTGGGGAAGTCTTCCCCCTCACCTTTTGTTGGTCACTGGTGATGTTTTTCAAGGGGAAAATGGGATAACAGTAGTGTGCCTGTATAAGGGACAAGGAAGGTAAAGTTGGTGTTGCTTTTGCACATGCCCACATCTATAGCGACCGGCCTGCCTGCTTCTGTCACTTTACCCCAGTCAGCAAGGGCAATTTGCTGTGCAAAGAAGTGGAGCCAGTATTTGCATTGCCCTAGATGCTGGGTTCCTCCAGGCAGTTTGAGCCTCTCCCCTGCAGCTTGCTTCTGAATTTCCCCCTTCTCAGAGCCTCCTGCAGCTCTCTGCTGTTCCTGCAGCCCTGTGCAGGTACCCTAGAGATGCTCTTTACCTTGCTAGAGGTGGCCGGGGGTGAGTGGAGTGTGCCAGACCTGTACCTGCCACAATGCCTGTGGGCTCCCCAGAGCTGCCCTGGCTCAGAGGCATGCTTCAGCCCTGCAGGAGATGTGTTCCCTCATCTTCCACTCAAAAAAAAAAATAAAAAAAAAATGGAGAGAATGTGTAGGCTTGAGGTTTTTCCCACCTTTGTGAAGTTGCATTCAAAACACAGGACTGGCTTTGCCTCCCCACCTTCTGGGCAAATGGGCTGCAGTGGTGCTTGTGACCCAACTGAGCATGTGCACGTGTTTTTTGGTTTCAGAGGTGATCAACCACTGTGACCTGGGTGAGCAGCTGTCACAAGCAGTGCCATTGACATGACTGATGCCCTTGTTGAAACCATGCTTGGTGCCTGCTTAACTGAGCTATCTGAGGGTAGATAACCCAGCAGGACAAGGGGAAATGGTTTAAAATTGAAGGAGGGAAGATTTAAGTTGGATGTCAGGGGGAAGTTCTTTACAGAGAGAGTGGTGAGGTGCTGGAACAGCTGCCCAGAGGGGCTCTGGGTGCCCCGTCCATCCCTGGAGGTGTTCAAGACCAGGTTGGATGGGGCCCTGGGCTGCTATGAAATGTGGAGGTTGGTGGCCCTGCATGTGACAGGGGGTTGGAGCTTCGTGATCCTTGAGGTCCCTTCCAACCATTCTGTGATTCTGTGAGCTGGATGTTGGGCTCTGTGCTTGTCTTCTCTTAGGTGTTTTCTCATTGCATTGTGAAGTCTGTTCTGTTTTGTGTTCAGAAGGTGGGAACAGCATGCTTTTAGGATGACTAATCCCTACATGTTCTCATCTTCTTCCTCACGTTTCCTACGTTTCCTGCTGATGCTATCTTCCAACATGGTGGTATCTCCAGGTTTGTTGCACCAGAATTATTCCCCTTTCTGGAGGTTTTCAAGAAAAGAGCAAATATGGCACTAGGGGGATGGTTTAGCGGGCATGGTGGTGATGGCTGGTGGTGGGACTAGATGATCTTAGTGGTCTTCTCCAACCTGAATGATTCTATGACCCAGACAATTTGGAGGACTTGGAAGATGTGGAGAACCCAAGTGTTCATCATGAAGTGAAGGGGCTGAATGACAATGCACTTGATGTACCCATAGCTCCTGGGAATCCATTTCCAGCTTTTCCTTGTGATGACTGCAAACTGTTTGAGTGGGGAAAGCTCAGAAGGGGTCCCACAGCTGCAATGAATGAGCTGCCTCAGGTCAGTGGGAAGTGGCTCTGGGCATCCTTGTGGTCAGCAGTTCCCACCATGCTGTTCCCCATTGGAGCACACTCATGCTATGGGAGGGCAACTGCAATTTTCAACTGGCCTTTTTCCCACTTAGCAGCTTTGCTTCCAAGCTACCTGCTGAAAGTCATTCCTGGGTTGGGCATTTGACGAAGCAGTCCATCAACAGCCCAAAGTGCTGTGTTTCAACTGGAAACCTGCCCACAGATCTCTGAAGCCCAAAGTAGGAACAAAGGCTTCAGCAAAGACTGGCAACTTACGTGAGAAGTGGAGATGGAGGAGGAAAAGTTCTTATTTTTGCCTTGCTGGGAGTGGAAACAGCAGCACATAGGCCACTGCCATAGAGCTGGGGAGCTGCAGGAAGGTAAGCTGAGAGCAAACATTTGCTAATTGAAAAAATAATAAAAAGTTTGATGTAAGTCTTATGGCTTGCTAGTAGCTTGGCTACAGTTACTCCTGTAAATTGGGCTGTAGAAGGGTTGTACAGTTTCTGAATGCTTTATGTCTCTGGTGTTGGGTTTGCCAAGGCTCACCAATCTGGATGATGGCTGTGGGGGATTTGGG